GTATGGCAGTTACCCGAACCCGTTGTCCGAATTAGTCCAATAACAATAGGGTTCGTCCTTGGCACAAAAGAAAAAACTTGTGAAAGTTTGGTGTGGATATCATTATTCGTTTTTGAGTTATCGTGCGATCGGACGGACGGACGGACGGACGGACGGACGGACGGACGGACGGACGGACATGTCTCAATCGACGCAGAATTTTACGCTGAGCAAGAATATATATATATGTCCATACCGCAGATGACTCCTTCAAGTAGTTACAAACTCCATACCAAAGTTAATATACCCTTCACGAAGTGCAGGGTATAAAAAACAACAAAAATAAATCATTATTAATAATAATAAGGTTAGGTTAGAAATACTGCTCTCCCCACTTTGTGTATCCCTGTTTAAGTTGTGGATTTAAAATTAAATCTTAGGAGAATTTTATTTCAAGTTTAAATTTTATAAGTATCAATAATATACCGTCGGTTAAGAAGCAGAAAGCATTAAGTCAGGAAACTGTGTTTTGAGTAAATTCAATTTGAAAAAATCGTAAAATTGTAAAACTAATCAATTAGTGCAACCATATTCCAGATTTGCATGATTCTTTGCCACAACAAAGATTATATTATTCTGATTTAATTCATCTATGAAATCCGAATTCTCAAAAAATGCAGTTAGTGCTTTCTGCATTTTAACCCACAATACTGTACTTTATGTATGTATTGTGTCACATTATATAACGACCATAATATATCTACCAAATATATCCGATTATTATAGGTACCCATAACATTAAAACCGTATTTTTATGTATATATATATAAATAAATTACGGTATATACATACATATACTCGTATGCAGACAAATCATGTTTCGTTATAAACTCTTTTCACAAAAACAAAAAAAAAAAATTATTTAACATTTTCAGTATATATAAAGGTTTTCAAATATATTATATTTTGTAATTTATTATGTTGCAATTTTCTAAGATTTACTATCACGTATTTGCCACTCACATACGAATATCCAAATATTATTATGTGTATAGCTATATGTGGGTACCTACTAGATATATACATAACATTATTATATACATTAATTTTACATGCACGTTATTATATTTTGGGTTTATGAATGTTGTTTAGTTTTCTATCAAATAATTCACTATTGCTATACTTTACACTCTTTATATTATCATATAAAATTTAGGATACTACCTACATATATGTATATGGAATAGCACGTTCTTATAGTATTATTATGTTTGGATAATATACAAGTATTTAAGTTAAAACTCTTGTGAGAAATGATAATGTAAGTTTTATGTACTTTTAACAAATTACCTCTAATAAATATTTTAAGTTATACTAACTAGAATCTTTTTAAGTTGCTTTTAAAATAAAATTGAAGGTGAATGTAATAAATTATGAAGCAGATATAATAATGAGTAGAAATTTTTAAAAAATATTACAAGTAGTTATAAAAGAGTAAAATTTTTTAAAAAGTCATCAATTTAATCAAAATGTACCAGCTCAATCATTTTAGTTTACTCATCAAAAGACGTATACTATGTTTGTTCTTGTATAGCGATTCTTAAACTTTATTAGTTTTGTGTAAAATTTTCAATGCAGGGTACTTGCATTTTAATATTATGCAGTTAGATTAATTTTTGACAAGCAATTATTTTGATCCTTAATTTAATTTTTTTTAATGTTTCATCAAGTGAATTTTGGTATGACATTTTTGCAACAACGTAAAAATTTGAAAGACAAATGATTAATTACTAAAAGATGACAGAAAATTATAAGCAACATGAAAAAATTCAATCCAAAAATTGCCAGCAGAGTTTCAATAACTTGGAAATGTTAATTTTCTAAATAAATTGCTCATTAATTGCTGATTAATGATAGAAATTCAAGGTTACTGTTAAAAGAGTAAGCACCTAGTAGAGAAAACAGTAATCTCTAGTAGAGAAAACAATAAAAAAACTGCAAATTTTTAAAAGCAGAACTGCACACTTTGTTGAACATAATTTAGTAAGTAAAATAACTAGACACGCGGTGATTTTCCAAAGTTCTCCTCTTTTTATTTCGACTCTAACACTCGTTTGCACCTCTGGAGTTATTAAATCTCTTCCGCCTAAATGAATATTCTACAAAAATACCGGTTTTAGGAAAAAATTTTTAGTAATTTTTGAATATTTTCTATAGGTATTATGTATACATTCTAAATTGTTATACAAACTATATGAAAGAATTTTAAAAAAAATAATTTAAAAATTTTTCTCCATACATACTTATTATATTATTTTTTATTACAGTATACTTAATTCCTAATATTGGTCAGATCAACCACATTCTATTTTTATTTTGGTTTCTTATTTTATAGCTACATATAAAGTATATTAGACTAAATATTGAAAGTGTTACTCTTTATTGTTACAAGGTTCTTGTTCTTATTTCAAAATTGCTTATTTTCAATATTATTGTACACTCTACCCTGTTTTTACTCTGTAATTATTTTCATGTTAATTTTTTTGAAATTAAAATATAAAAATAAAATTTCTTATTTACTATTGAGTAGATTTATCGTAAAAATAATAATTTCATTCAGTATTGTATACTTAAATTATGTGAAGAAAATAAAGGCGTTAATTAATTTAATGAGCAGAAGAGATAATAAATTATATTAGATGTAATAGAGTCTTGGAGATATTGAGGAGTTGAAGAACCTAGATAAAAAAATTTTATGTAAGCCCGGTCTAATATCATTTTATTATAAAAATCACCCATTCTTAGATCGAGTATTTCGAAATGCTCCCAAGAACGAATAATGTAGATTTTCAGTTAAAATTAATTTTCTTTCTGAACTATTGTAAATTAATGATTTCATAAAAGCTTACATTAAGGAGATCTGTAATACTCTTTTTTTACCAAAAATAACACGGTTAATCTTAAACATTATAACCAAACAAAGCAATAATGAATAAGTTTCAAATTTAATCCGATTGATGTCCAATAAAATGAATTCTCAAAAATACTTATATATACACATATATTTCTCAAAAATACTCATATCCAAATAATCAAACCAATTTTGAGTATTTCCGGAAAACTTATTGGAATTTGTGACGCGAATGACAATTAGATCTCAATAATCTTGTTTGCTATAGTTCTGCCTCAATAAAACCACCATACTTTGTTAATTTTTTTTATATAAAAATTGTAATTCAGCTTAAAATTTTTCACTTTAAATTTTTATCTAATATAGAGTAGAGAAGCATCTGGTACGTAAATTAAGAACAAGGTTCTCATGCAATTAATTCTATAATATGATTTTCTACTATATTGGTATACCAAATTTTATATAAGTATGTATAGCTGCATTACATTTAAACAAAGTGCAAGTTTAACTATTGTGGTTTTACATATATTTCTAAAAATATATCTTATGCATATATGTATGTATGTGATTGTAATTCACAAAATTTTTGTATTTGGGTGACTTCTTTTGTCTACGAAAATTTCTTTTATTATAATAAATTTTGTTTTTTTTTCAATTCTTGTTTTTCTTATTGTTTTTACAATATTATTTTGAATAATTTTTACATGATGGTTTCTGACATTCATGAAAATTCATAAATTATAAGACAACAAAAATAACAAAACTACAAAAGAAAACTATTGTGAAAATATTTTTCTTTTTTTTTTTTTAATTTTTTTTTTATTTTTAAGTTTTTCTTTAACTTTTTGTTTGCTACAAAACTACCTAGTACTACAACTGCATAATTGCAAAAAAATTAGTTTGTTGAATAAGAAACAAAAATGCCATTGAATGGCAAATGAAAGGAGAGAAGAGAAAAATCTTGATGAATTTCAATTATTTGTAAATGACGGAGGGAACAATTACCTATCACAACAAAAACAAAAAAGCAACATTATTTTTATATTAAAAATTAACAAAAAAAATTAAAAAATAAACAAAAAATAAAAATTTTATCTAATTTAATTTAAAAATGATGATGAAGATTTCCCATTTTCATAAGTTTTTCATTATTTTTTATTTAAAAAGAAAACCAACTTTTATTTAAATTACTCTTTAGTATTTTAACAGTAGATTAAAAGTTTTTAAAGAGTTTACTTAAAGAATGCATTTATGGTTACAGTTATGTGATATGCACAGAATGCATTGCGCTTTTGCAATGTGATAGTGAAAAGTATTCCATAATAATTTATAAAATTGTGATATACGAACTTGGTTGTAACAGAAAATACTACAATAAATTTCATTTGGATTTTCTTAATTGTTCACATGAGAATATTAAGTTAAACGCATTAAAAACAAATTTTTAGTAATTTATGACTTAATGTACACTCACCACGTACATAATAGGTTATGTTTGGCAATGTAGTGTAAATTTTCGCTCTTTTTGCATATTGAAAATTGTAACTTTAATGCAATTTTTCTTTATAATTTAATGTGGTCGCAGGTATTATAGTTGGAAAAATTAGAAAAATTCCTGAGAAAATTGTGAAAATTTTGTGTAAAACAATCAGTGCTGCCATTTAGAAGAAATGCAAGATGAAATCATAATATTTAATATTATTAGATTTTTCATTTGAGGTCATTTTGCGGAAATAATTTTGAAAGAAAGAAGTGTTTCAGACCTCGGCCGGGTTAAAATTTTTACATCTTTTCTTAGAAATCTATAACTTTTTATCTCTTATATATGTTGTATTGTTACACAACTTTCATACAAGACAAAATTAATTTGAAATAGCAAAAATTCCATAGTAGATACTCATTTGTGCCCAAAACTATGCGCTCATAACTTATATACACAATTACATAAAATTATTTTTTTGTTTGTTTTTTTAAGAAAACACCATATTATTTGCTTTTTTTTTATATAAATATTATATTTGTGTAGAGAATTTTTTATTTATGTATAAAACATATAAAATTTCCTTAATTGTTTTTATGATGCAATTGTTTTAAATGCAGTTGCCAAAATTTTTGCTATCGTATTTGAATCAATTTTACAAGTTTTATAAATTTCACCACAATCAACTGTATTTAAACGTTTACCATTTTCTAATGCTTCTTTAATTGCTGTACCATCTAACATATATTCAATAATATCATTTTTAGCTAATGCATGTATAAATTGATCAATTTGATCTTGTGTTCCTTGTAATAAATTTGTTTCAGTTGATCGTACATATGTACAAACGGCACGTTGTACACAACCAGTTGAATCAATATCATGTTTAGCTAAAACATCATCTAATTTTGACATTGCTGTATTTAATGTATTTGAATCGAATGTATCGGTTTCACTTCTTGCATAACCTTGTCCACCATAATAACCAGTATTAAAAATACTTAGAATTTTTGGTATTAATAGAAATGCACCTAATCCAATTATTGAACCAATAACAACACCAGCTAAATCAATTTTTGGTGGATTATAACCAGCAACACCAGTACCATATGTATTTAAACCACCACCATAACCAGTTGTATAACCTAAACGTTCGATACGATCTTTAATATTAATATTTTCAGCTGTAATTGGATCAGATGTTTCTTTTGAAAAATTTTGCATATTATTTCCTTGTTGTTGCATATTTTGCCATTTTGCATCTAATCCTTGTTTTTGTGTATGATGTGGCACTGCACCAAATACAAATGTAATTAAAAATAGAAATTTTCCGAAAAGTAATAATTTTTCCATATTTTTTTTTTTGTGGTTTTTTTTTTCAGAAATTTATTAATCAACGAATTAAATACTTTGACACTATGAAACTAACTGTTTAAAAATGCATATTAACAGTTGCTTTTATAAATAAGAAAAAAATTTGTCAAAAAATTTTTTGGTTACAGTTATTTGAATTTAAACAATAAGAGGATTGCGACTGATTTAATATTAAAGCAGAGGAGGGAAAAAAATAATGTTTTTTTTTTTAAGATTTTCCGGCTTAAAGTTTATTTAAAGAGTAAATATAACAAAAATAATGAAAAAAGAGTACAAAATTCTAAAGTGGTTGTTAAAACAATTATTTTCACTATTTACCTATAAATTGCGTTAGTCTTCCTATTATGTGATGAATGCAGTTCAAGTGGAAAAATTACATGCCATATAACTTGAACTATCAACATAAATGATAATTTTAACGTTATATAAAAAAGTTTAAATATAAATAGATGGTATAGAAAAAAAATAATAACAATAATAAAAAAAAAAAACAGCAAAGTGGGTAAATTAATGACTAATGTTTTTATTGTGTGTTGTTATGGAATCGTTGATTTTGGATCATATTAAAATGGTAGTAGTTTTTCGCGCAAATTCCAATCTAAATTCAAACTTATATACACGTATCTACTCTTACAGTAATATTTTCTTCATTTCTTTATAGATTTTTTATAATATTTCATATTTATCTATACATTTTGCATTGTTATTAAATTTATGTATTTTTAATAATGTTTTTTATTATAACCAGATGTGTAATGCCATAATCATAATAATAATAATAATAAGGAACAATAGATGAATTGAATATTTTCTGACAAAAGCATATTTTTTCTTATGATTTTCAATTTTCATTATAAATTTTAATATTACAATTATATATTTTATTACATATTAGATGTCGTAATATTTATATTGTAATAGTTTTTCTTTAAACAATAATCAGACAACGAATAATTTTTCTTATGAAATTTTTAAAAACAACAAAAAGTAACAATGAATGCGTTTCTCGAAATGGTTTCAATTGTCTATGTAAATATAATAATGTTTTCTATGTCTAAATCTATTACAAATTTTTGAATGTGCAACTTTAAAAGCAAATTTCCGAGAATAATCAAAAAATATGAAAAAAAAAAAAACAAATTCATTTTATATTTTTAAACTGCGGAAGCAAGACATAAACAAATTTAGGAGCAGATTTTATAAATTTTTCTTTTTAATTTTTAATTTTGAAAATGAAAATTTTAAAATTTTTGATTTATGTTTTAAAGTGCTTAACATATTTTACGACAATTTTTTAATTAATATTTTCTTTTCGATTATAATTTGAATAAAATTCATTGTCAGTGTACATTTTAAAAATTTCAAAAGAATTTTCCAAGAGGACAGGTAAGAATTTTTATTTTATTATCAAATATATTACCATTACATTAGTTTGTTTATAAAAGAATATAAAATTAGTAAAATTTTTTTGATTCTAATATTTTTCAAAAAAAAAAAAATTTATTTTTTCATTTTCATTTCAAATTAAAATCAAATAATTGCCTAATATTTTCACAAAAGTGAATGTATTTATGTACATAATTATGTACATACCTAATGTATGTATGGACGTGTGTATACAATTTTTTTTTGTTAGTAACTTTCAAATATCATGTAAACAGCATCCGCCACCGCAGATTCTTTCGTTCCGGGTAATTTATTATAGGAATGAGACTAAAATCACAATAATTTTTTCTTCTAAATTGCACATATTCCCATATGTACATACATATGTACACTATGTATTATAATATAAATAAATGTAATTAGTATACATAATTTTTTTTTTGAAAAACATATTTACATACATAAGTATAACGGTATTTATACATTCATAACATAACATTCGTAGAACATAATTTTGTTTATTTGTTTGCTCTTAATCGACTAAAAATTTTCATCATATTCATTAATAAATGTATATAGTAATAAATATATATTGGTACGTGTGTATGTTCATGCACAATTGTGTGTTAGAATATTACAGTTGAATCAGTATAACAGGAAAACTTGTATTGGCGAAAATTACAACAAATTTTTTGTTTCTATCAGTGAAATATTTTTACATTTTATGAGTAACATTTATTTACAAATTTTAGAGAAAAATACAAAAAAATTTACAAAATTTGCTCCATTTTCTCTAATATAAAAATTTTTTGAAACTTTAATAGTGTTGATGATCGTGTTTGTTAAATGTTAGTTGAAAAAAAAAATAGTGTAACAATCCTCGATAGAATCGAAATTAAAATCAATGCTCAAACGCTGCAAATCAGAAATGTCCTACAACTAAGATAAAATTGTCTTTCTCTTGGAGTTATTTTTATCGAGGTTCAACTGTATGAACGTAAAAAAGAAATGAATTTTTTGTGATTGTTTCTAAAACTTTTAAAAAATTGAACATTAAATTGGTATAAAAATGAAATTTTATAAGAAAAAAAAATTTTTCATTTAAAAATAATCATCGAGCATCTTGAAGGAACATAGAAATGTTATTATGACCTAAAAAAATTTAAAAAAAAAAAAACAAATTTATGGTTTTTTTCTCTATAATTTCGACAAAAATATCTATGAATTTTTTTTTTAATTTTTTTTTCCTTTTTTAATAAACAAAGGGTAAATTATTGAAAAAATATTGAAAATATGCCAAAAAAATTACTAGAAAACATACACAACGGCTGTTCGCAAGACGTTCTATATTAATTTTAGCAACCTTGATTGAAGATTAAACTAATATATTATTGTTATTGTATTATAATAGAAAGCGATTGAGGTAGAATTTATTATTACTAATAATAATATAATTTTAATATTCCTGTTACAAATAGATCTCGAAATTAGATGACTATACCATAAGGTTAGGTACTACGAAATTGCAATCAAAGATGTAATTTTTAAAATATAGAATATGCTATATTGTAATTTAAGTGTCGAAATTCTATTTATATAATTTTGGGAATTAAATAATGGAAACAATTTTCTGCTGAAATTATATTGTTGTTAATATACTCGTATATACATTAATCAAATATAAATTAAAGCTGTATTATGGAGAAGATTTCTGATTCTGAATTAAGATTACTAAGATTAATTTACTTCTCAACGAAAAGATTGTAGCATTCTTGATTTTATATTGCAGTTAAATTAAGTTAATAGGATTTCAAAATAAAAGGAGTGAATGAATTTCAAAATAAAAGGAGCTTAGTGAATTTTGAAAGGATAACAAACTCGAAAATGGAAAGGAGGCAAAAGTCGTGATTTTTTAATCATCGGTCAAAATTTTATATAAATATTTCCAATGATAGAAATTTATTAAACAATGCCTGTGGAAATTATACTTTCCAAAATTCAAAAGAGCTATAATTTATCACTTTTAATTATATGAGACAAATTTAAAAAAAATCGAAATGGGTCATAGCTTCACAAATAGGTCTAAATCTTAAAATCTTTCAAAATAAATTCATAAAAAAAGAATTTCAGATTTATTAAAATAAACTTATTTCAAACTTACAATGCAGAACTAACTTAATTTATTTTAGCGAAAATGGCAATACTGTTCGTATGACAAATAAGAATACCTACTTAAAAATTTTTATTTATACTAATACTATGCGGAAAATTGAGTAGAAATATTAAGAAATTGAGAAAAAATTTACAAATATTTTACTTTAAATAATTTTAAAGAATCTAAATAATTTCTCTATATTACCCTGTATTTTCATACATATGTATGTGAATGCACAGAATAGTTTATATTTTCAAAAATTACGAATTTTTCGTTTAAAATTTTAATATTATGCTTATTTAATATATTCTAAAATATTTTATAATCATAGAGTCGCATAAAACATGTTATTCTTATATTGGAGTGTTATTTATTTTTGATTTAAAATATTTAATAAATATTATAATAAAAATTAATTTTATATAATAATAACTGACATTTATTAATATTAACACAATATAACAATTAAATCTAGTGAAAAAAATTTATCAGCAAAAGAACTATACAATATACTTAATGCAGAAGAAATTTAATATTAATTCTGTATTTAAATCTCTTGAAATTTCAATCAATTAATATTTATAGACAAATCAGTGCATAATTTGGAAACAAAAATTTCAATTCAGAAAAATTTTCAAATATATTTGTATGCACTCAATTAACATAATATATACATTTATAAACTTTTCTCAATAAATATACATACATTATTATTTAATCAATGATCAAAAATTATTCGGCAAACATCCAATTAAAATTTAAAATTATAATATAGTGCATACTTAAAATATTTCGATACAATGTATATAATAATTATGATATACAAAAAAAAAAAAAATTTTAATATTAAGCAACATGTCTCTCTATCTCTCTCTATAAATACTATATGATTATTTTAATATTGAGTGAATTATCAGTGCAATTAAAATTAAAATAAGTAGAAAATTTCGAATAAAAAAAAATAGAAAAACCACTAACAATTTAATGACAATTTACTACATAAAATGAAAATAAAAAAAAAAATTATTTTTTTTTTAAATAAATAAAATAAAATGCATTTTTCTTGTATTTTAGGTTTTTTTTCACTCTCGCATTTATAAATTGTGACAAAATACACTTATGTCTATTGTATATGAAAATTAAATTTTAAATTATTTTGTTGCAAATTCTTTTTTAATTATATAATAATATATTGAATTTAAAAATTATAATGTGAAACAGATTATTTAACATAAAAAACAGATTTTTATAAATTTTTTTTTAATTTTGTCATTTTTGAACACAAATTTTATAACATATTAACAAATTTTTTTTAAATTACATTTCGTAATGTTATACGTATGACAAAATCATCTTCACATGTACATATGTATGCCAACATTTTTGTAATTCGACAAACTCATCTACATTTTTATGTATAATTAAAAAATTACAAGAATTAATATAATTTTTGTTATGGTGAATAATTTTTTTTTCTTACCACTTTTTCAAAAAATTTTGGAAAAACTGCTTTTTAGTTTCACTCTGCCCGTCCGTCCGTGAACCCATTTACAAAACCTGTACAGCATTGAAGATAGAGAAATGAAAATTCCCGATAAAAAAAAAAAATTTTACCTATCTCTCCCCCCCTCTAGAAGTTATAGAGGTTGGAAAGATCTAAAAATGCCATTTTCTGACTTCTTATTTAAAGGAAACCATAAACATTTTTCAAATTTTGTTGAGAATAAGAGAAATACTGTTGTTACTTGATCTACTACGGCAAATTTATCGTTATCTAAAATTTTTTTTTTTTTTCAAATGCTTGATATCGTTTTTCTTCTAGACAAAGGGTTAAAGGAGTATAAAAATTTTAGCAACTTTTGGACACTAATAAATAGTTCATTTCAGCAGAAGAAAATATTTTTACACCTAAAATCGCCTGTTGGAAAATTTGAATTTTTGGCACCTTATATTTCTGAAATTGGTTGCTTTTCCAAATTTCTATAAACGTAAAAAGCTAACAGTAAATTCCATACCATTAAAAAATATAATTATTTTTCTTAATTAACCCTTAAGTTCAAGCATTATGTTAACGACTCTTTCAATTTTTTGTTTTTTGGTTTATTTCAAATATTAAATATATTGCTCATCGTAAACGTCTGCAATTTTTGAAAATTATTCGTATATGAATGAAACTAATTTTAATAATGTAGTACATCGCTAGATTGTTTTTAAAAGCAGTACTTTTACTTCTTGAAGGGAAAAGTGCTACTTTACATACCACTGGTTTGACCCAACTCTATTTTGAATTACAATAATAGTGATGACGATTTCTGTACCACTACACATACATTACAGTATTAAAATTATATTAATTGCTAAAAATAGATTTTATAATACAAAAATATTAAAAATATATTAAAAGGAAATACAAGAACTAATATAATTTTTTTAAAAGAAAAGTGAAATATTCTATATAGAGATTAAAAGTAGAAATTATAATTTTAAATTGTACATATATAGTAATATACACATATAAATATGTTAATTTTTTTCTTTGTATGCGAGTAAAATTTTTAGCCATATTACTCTAATATTTAATTTAAATTTAGAAATTTTAAAATTTAGTACAGCGAAGAATGAGGATGAATATTAAGAAAATGACATGTTTATACATTATTTATACATACTCATGCATAATATATAAATAAATAATTTAAAAAATATAGTTATAAAACTGTAATACAAACACAATATGTTATTCTATAGTTTTGGACAATATGTATATATGAAATTTGTATACGAAAGTTCTATATGTATAAGTACATTAAATGTGTTATATACGAAGTTCATTCATCTAACTGTATTTTAGCTAAGTGTTTTAATGGAGTATAATAAGGTAAAATTGTATTTTTTTCATTATTAAGTATTTTTCATTGAAATTAATCAATTTAAATGAGAATATTAGTTAATTTAAAAGTTATTCGTAAAATTTCCTTGGTTCTTATGGATTGTATTTATAAAATTACATAATTTTCGCATCAAATTGCATTTAAAATTTCTCCTAATAAGTCGAATTGGAAATTTTAATTATTTAAAGAAAATTTCAGTTCTTAATTATGTAAAATTTGAAATTAGAAAAATATATACGGGCCGTTGTTCGGACGTTACTCCGAGTTGAATTCAATAAAGTATAAAATAATAATATTGTGAGTATAGGTCAAAGAATTTAATTTAAAAATTTCTACTAAAAAATACTTTCTTTTCTCCTAAATCCAATTTAAAAACTCTCTATTGAAAAATTTCAAATATGCAAAATAAACGTAAATTGCATTCTTTAACACCCTCCTCCATATATGCATAAAACATTTTAAGAATGAAAATTAAAAATCATATTAACATACATTTTGTGTATTTAAAAAATATTTTTAGACCCACTGAATATATTACATTTATATGATATACGTACATATACATATGTTATACGTATATGAAATTTAAATGAATATTATGAACTTTTAATTTATTTTTAGAAAAATTATTTCAACTTTTTTTCATACTTAAATTCATTTGACGTAATATTGACCATATTTAAACAAGATATTAAAATATTATGCGCATTCTATATACACATACATATTTCTATATCGCCTGCGCAATGAACTCATATACATACATATATTATGTAGGAATAAGAAATTTTATTGTATATAATAAATTACAATAATACTACATTATTTATGAAAGAATTTCATCTTTTTTTTTTTAAATTTCAATTTCATTTGTACGTTTTTATAATATTTTATATAATATGCTATTAATTTTTAGTATGACAATTATTTTCTGTAATAAAAATACATTATTATTATATTACAAATGATATTTTATTTTGCTTCATACATAATGTTATGTAATAGTATATTATATCCGACTGCCTATTCACATTACATGTACATATGATATATACATATTTATGCACTTATAATATTCCAATACATTATGAGTATATTGTTTAAAATCAATGTTTTAATTCTTGCTATATCATGCTGAAAACATACGTATACAAAGTAAAACACCTTTCTCTGTAAATTCTCACATAATTTGATAGCATTTTAATGGAAAATTTCTTTTTATACACCTGCTTTATTTTCATTTTGTTAAAGGTACACTTATATGTACATATTAAATATAAATATGTATATGTGTACGATACACATTTAATATATTATCTAAATTAAATTAGTCAAACGAGTAAACTCATTTCCCCACATAAAAGAAGAAAAGAAAGAAAAGAACAGTACCAAAAAAAAAAATCAACAATTCATTTTATTTTGTTCATTTTTCCCTAAAAATCAACAATTTTTTCCCGAAACAAGCCTTGGGTTTTAATATGATTATATTTGTAACACTTCTTGGATTTTCGTTTCTTTTCTTTTTTTTGTATTTTAGCATATTACTCAACAATTTGTACTTTTTATTATTTTTCGAGGCTTTTTAAATTATTCATTTCCCTGTTGTTTTATTCTATCCTTTTATATATTTCTGTTATATTAACGTTGGTGTATATGAATTTTTTACATACTTTCTCTCATATGTACATATATATTTTATATATACATGTATATATAAATTATGTATACTCTGTAACATCCATAAGTACGTATACAATTTTTATTTGTGTTCTTAACCTCAGGTTTTTTTTGTTCTTTCTCATTTTATTTCGGCTATATTGTGTGTGTCTTATTTTTTTTTGTTTTATTTATATTTTGGCTTTTGTTTTCCTGAATTTTCATAGGAAAAATTGAAAATTTTCCCAAGAGAATCAACAGATATATTGATTTAATTGATTGTCTGCGTTCAGAAGAACAAAACAATAAAAAAACGAATAAAAAATGAGTAAAATAATTTTTCTCTTTATTTCATTTTTTTTTTGATTTAAGTGGGGAGGTTTCGGTATTAAAAAGCTTCTCTAAAAGAATAAAAGTTCTATAAGTACCAAACATTCATATATATACAATATGTGCGTGTGCATTATATATATTATGTATATAAGTAAATTACTTGTATATTATATATTTGTACTCATTATGTATGTGTATATTTTATGTACATAATGATGTAGCCAAATGTATTATATTTACAAATCACTCAATATAACATTGTGAACATACAAACATACCATCATTATTGATAAAGCTAGAGAGTCTGCAATACAGTAATAAGTATGAAAAATAAAAATAAAAAATGGAGCAAAAAACGATAACAAATTAAAAACAAAAAAAAATGATAAAAAAAAATTAAAACAAGCAAGAAAGAACGAAAACAAGTGAATAACTTGATTTTCAATTTGGTGGGGATACTTACTCAATAATGATGATGACAACATCCAATTGAACTCTTAGCACACTTTTCTTTTATTCTTTATAAAAAATTTTAGTATACATCGTAATGTATGTATGTATGAATGTATATTGTACATACTTATAGATTTGTTTAAATGGTAATAAAAAATGCGCAATAATACCGTTATATTTTAACTTTATGATTCAAATATACAAAATAGTAAAACAAAACGAAAAGAAAACGTTTAATACTACATTATACATAATATACAGGATGTTCAAAAATTAAATGAACTAGCAAAGAAATTGAATTTCATGCAAAAGATTAGTTATTGCAATGTTTCCACATTAGTTTGATTACGCAAACGGTCTTATAGACATAGGTTTAACAGAACAGACTCATTGTATACATACCTATTGTATGTTTTGGAATATTTTGAAACGTGATTTTTCTTACAGTAAATTTTATAACACATAAAAAATTTTATGACATAAAGAATAATTAAAGTTTTTCTAAAATTTATGAATATTTTCTGATTATATTTTCAAGAACAGATCAAAAATAATTTAATAAAATTGCTATAACTTTATAGATGTCATTGGACTCTGTATAAGAATTTTTCTAATACACCTATAAAGAATTTTCTGTTTTATCAGGTATCTGCATTAATTTCAATATAAATAGCATTAATATAGTATTACACCTAATTACTTAACATGCTGAACATAATATACACATGTGCTTATATACCTATATTTTTATATTATATTTGATAAATTACGTATGTATATTATTATGGGAGCCTCGTATTATATACAATTAATGCATAGTAATTTACAACATTGTATACAATATTTTTAATGATTTTACTTGCTTCGTATACATACCTATTGTAACATATGTAGGTATTTATGTAAGAAAAAAAACATTTAATACAATTATTATTTATTTGCATATACATATGTATGTAAATGTATATTTATTATCACTCATGTAAAATGTAGCTATATATTCACAAAACGTATAATTTTGAGTCTAGATCAATGTTGAAGGTTTATATTACAAAAAAAAAAACAGTATCGTTTAAAATATTATTGAAATTTGATGCTTGAGAAATTGCTGTATTTAGCAAGATTCTAAACAATTCATTTAGTACATACAACAGCAACATAAAACAAAATCGACAATTCTGAGCTGAATTTACATGGAAATAAAACCATATTTGTAATATGACTGTCCCAATCAAAAACAAACTTTAATTAATTGAATATAAGAGATAGCTATGAAGTTGGAAATCGCCCTTTAAAATAATTTCCTATTTTTTCTGTGTGGATGTTCAATTCTAACAAAACAAAAAAGGAAGGAAAGGTCTAAAACGCTGCATAAATGTTATTATACTAGAAGGGCTTAATTAGTCAACTTTTCTCAAGTGAAATTCCAAAGATTTAAGAGAAGAGTATTGCCCCAGATAGGAGATGGTGATTTAATTCCATTGGAAAAGAGCGTATCTCGAAACCAAAGATATTATTACAAAAACATTCATAATATATTTTGTACTTATATATACGTTATGTATGTACACGTGTATTTATAAAAATATATTTTAATGTATTAGTAATTATATAAATAAAAGTTCAGATACATAAGATTATAAATACATAAATAGAAGAAAATTTTCTTTTAAATTGTACAATGCGATTTTTATCTATACATAATGTGGCTGCGAAAAAGATATGAAAATGTGCACCCCATACACATTTCTCCATGAATAATACTCGTACATAAACATAATATTGTTCGTTATACATACATAAGAAGAAAAACTCATGAAGCAACGTATTTCAAATCACATATAATATTTTTATATATAAAAGGATAATAATGTACCTATAATATTGAATAAGAATAACGGACGTTATAAGTGGAATTTCTGATTCATGTATAGTTAAAGAGAGAAAAAAAAGGGAGAAAACTTTATTGGAATTTTTTCGTTAAGAAAATTTGTTTTTTTTTTTTCTTTTAGAAATTCATACTCTATATAGACGTTCATACACTTATTCTGTAATATAGACATGGTATTATTTACAAGAAGTGTAGGTACTTATATGTTTTGTTATATTTGTACTTTAACTTTTGTATATACAAGAATATTTATTTTTTGAATTTAATAATATAAGGATAATATATATAGGAAATATTATTTACGTATATATACGAATTAGGTAGAGCGGAACTTATTTTATGTCCTTTTGGTTTTCTTTAAAAAATTCATTTTTTATCATGATATTATACTTGTATATAAATACAATATACTTCATATATATATATTCGAATCAACTTAGAAAAAGAAATTAAATAATACTATACTTGAATTCTCGACTGTACTCAAATCTACATTTCAGCGAAATCATGTATTAAGTTCGAACATGATAATGCAAATTGGTCAATATAAAGAAGTTGGGAAAAAATGTATCTTAGAGAGTTTTTTTCTATTTTTTTTGCTTTTTTTTTGGAAAAACGTAAATTATATGGTTTTATTTTATATATTTAAATAGCCCCCTCTTTAAATCCACCCTCTCTTTTATATTGTCCTGTCTATTAAAATAATCCAAGAAATATTTTTAATTTTGTATCATACCAATGTAGTAAAATGACTCTAATATTGCTCACACTAACCTAACCGAGCTAGACTACTACGGAAATAAAATTGATAAATAAATTCAACACACTCGATTTTAATCAGGGTGCTTCATTAATATTATGTTTAAATTTTTAAAATTAGTTCCTTGAAAACTACTTATTCTGTTTTAGGTAACTTTAAACCCATATTAGGTACACATTTACATACATACGCCACTGAGATACTCATAAATTTTGTATACATGTATATATAGATAAAATTACAATGGATATCAGATTTCTGGAGAAAATAACGGGAATAGCAACGCTTTCTAGAATAATAAAATGGTAAAAGAAAAATCCTTTTTTCTTTTCTATTTTTTTTTTTGTATTTTTTTCTTTTTATCGTAACAAGGAAACATATATATATATATATATATATTTTTATTGATTGTTTTCTAATGTTTGTAAAACTCTTCGATTTTATATTATTCTTATTATTATTGTTATGATTATTATTATGTATCTACACTCATTGTTATTATTCTTTATTATATAATGTTCGTATTCAATTCATTTAATATTAAATATGAGAAAATGTATACATTAATAAGTATATAAGTATATTTTATGTAATTCTTTTAATATGGTTAAGGTGGAGACTGTCGACCGACGACAATATTATAAAAGAAAAAAAAAATCTAATAATAAAAAAAAATTAGAGTATAAAGTATGTAAAAATATTCATATTATTATTATACATACATATACATTTTATTTTACTTCAGAATGATATTCGAATTCGTAAATATAAAGAAAACAATATTCTAGAAAGTAAAGTGGGTAAATACCTATTCTCATATACAATAAAATATGAGGGCAAGAAGACAAAAGAATCTATTTGGCGTGAACTAAAAAAATTCTAAAATAAAATAAAAAAAGAACGTTTAACAGCAAAATTTTATATTTAAAAAGAAATTATTTATTGAGTACACTTAGTTATAACATGAAAATATTATATACATACATACATACAATCACAAACATTTAAATATAAATTTGTACATCAGTAACTCAAAACTAAAAGGGCCCGACGAAATTTGAAAAATTTTTATATTATGTTTAAATCGCTTAGATTTTATAGATTTATAAGTACTTTATAAGTACAATAAAACTATTATTTTTAATTAACTTGGAATAACAAACAAAATTTTTCTATAAATGTTCATTTTCTTTCTAAAAGATAAACCGAAACCGAAGTACCAATAAATTTTAAAAAACACTTTTTCCACCAAAATTTGTTAATGTGACTTAGACCATTTGTGCTCTGGGACTGTATTATATTATTAGAATATCTATAAGTACTTATTTTATAAGCTATTAGGCTGGAATTTTTATTATTACAATTTTTTGTCTTTTCTTTTTTTTTTTTTTTATTATTTATTTATGCTCCTTGTTTCGCTTTATAAGAAAGAAAATGGCCCGTTCTGTGCGTAAATATTTTTTTTCTTCATTTTTTTATTATTATATTTTTATTTTTCTTTCCTTTTATTTTCTTATACTCTTATTTAACTTGCATAACACATGCATGTATATGTACATATACGTGTATGTGTATCTAAGAAGTTCTGAGTTGATTTGAGATAATTATTCTTAATAGTTATTCCATTTCTATAAATAAGTCGGTAACAGAGACTTCTCTTCTCCTTTATGATAGTAGATTTTCATTTAAGAAGTAACGATGATGAAGAAGAAAAATTATAAGTAAAAATAAGAAACCGATATACAAAAAAAATGAAAAAATTTTTTTTCTGAAAAGGTGTTTTTCCTCGTTTATGCTGCTGAACACGAATACTTATGGGGTGGAAACACAAAAAAAAAAAAAAACAGAAAATAACAAAAAGAAAAGATAATAAAAATTAACTTTTTTCCTTTGATAAAAGATACAGCCAATTAATTGGATAAGTTACCTTTTCATGAGAGAAGAATACCACATTAAAGTTGATTTATGGAAATCGGTTATTTTTAATGGAAATGAATTTGTTTTGAAATCATCTTTACCTGAAAATACAAAAAAAAAAGAAAATTATATTAGAAAAAAGAAAGAAAAACATTTTTGGAATTAGAAAATTAATAAGACAAAGTATTTTTTACCATTAAATAAATATGTGTTTTAAATAAAATTAGAATAATATAAACAACATAGTGGGAACACTTATATAA